TTTTTTTTAGCATCACTCTGAGACAGGATATTTCTAATAAAATAGCTTAGAAATCTATTTCTAAGCCCAGACCCAGGTGACTTGCCAAAATTCAGCAATGGTGCTGCAAATCACAAAGAGATGCACATTTTTTCCCTCGATACCTAGTGGCTGCCTGCAGCACCAAAGGACTTCGTCAGTGACGTCTGCCTCACCCTAGCAGCACCTGTCCCCTGAGTCAGTTGGCCTCATACAAACTCGTCATGATGTTCTGTGTTGTAATTTACTTTTGTTTGTGTTTGACAAGTTTTGTTGACTAGCTGTTTGTGGAGGTAGACGACTACATGTCATCTGAGTGAGTGAGTACATGAAAACCCATTGAAGCTATGTCTTGATGTATGCTCAGTCATCCAAGTAAAGAAATCCCAAAAAGTTTATTCTCATACCTCCTGAATCCTACTGTAACTGCTGACTGCACTCATTTAACTGTGTAGTTGTGGAGTCAAACTCACCCTCTACGATGCAGACAACAGACAATAATTATTTTTTTTAAGTTTTTTACTGAATTTGCCCTACAAAGCAGATTCAAAGCAAGCACATTCATTAGAATTAAAATTTAGATTCAAATTCAAATTCAAATTTTTGTATTCTCATGTACTAATATTATTTGATTATCATATCAATATAGCACAAGGTTCAGTTATCTTTGTACAAAAATACAATTGTCTTTCAAGGAGCTTCGTTTTACTTTTTTACTTTGAGTACATTTTAGAGCCTGTACTTTTTCACTTATACTTGAGTAAAGAAATTTCTTCAGTACTTCAACTTTTACTGGAGTATGTTTTAACACAGATATCTGTACTTCTAAAGAGTCTGTGCTTCTGCCAGACTTGTGCCTAAAATTTATGTATCTTTACTCTACAGAAGAAAATCTCCACTGCAAAAAAGTTGCCTTAAGAACAATTAAATCAGGGGTTGTCAAGCATAAGGCCTGGGGAACAGCCTGGCAAACACTCTAATCCAGCCCCACTGCATGGCTGTGTAAAATGTGCAGGAGCGCATAAATTTTGTATTCAACAAGAAAAGAAAATTGTTGAACCTTTTCTGCAATTTCACACATTTATTTCTTACAATTTAAGTCAAAAGAGTTATGCTGGCAGAGTTGCAATATAATTTTGTTTTAAATCACAAAACAACAAAAACAGCTACAATACAGTGTCTTTTAATAAGGGAAATATAGCTGCTCACAAACGCTAATGAGGAATTACAAATGTCACACTAGCTGTGAACACATCCCACACAGTGTCATATAAAGCATTTATCCAATCTGTGTTTCTGTGTAAGGCCAAACTTTGCAAACTTCCAAGCATCCCATCTTCATTCGTTCACCTGACTATAAATTAACAGACTGAGCATGAAATCACTCACCTTAGTCTGATTTGATGTTAGGTAGCATTCTCACATACACATAATATTATCACAATTTTATTTGATTATTCCAAAAAAGTATGTACAGTCCTATACACCTTACAGATATTCAGGTGCATGCAGGCAAAAGTAGCCCAGCTGTGCCTGTGCTTCGTACTTCCACTTCAACTCTGTTATCAGATTCTAAATATACTGTGCTGGTGCTTATCGTCTGTAGCCTCAAATGCTCAAGCTACATGTCTACATGTTCCGTTCAAAGATTTACACAATTTTAAGTGTTCTCATTTAGATACAGTCTGTTAAGTGCATTAAGTTCATTCAACATCGATTTTGTATGTATTTTGTACACTGTATGATTTTCAGAATCAACGTTATTCTTTCCCAGATCGTCTTTTGCTGTGAACTGGGTGCTTTTGGTTCCTGTTTGCTCCGATGATGTTCCCTCAAACAGCTTAGCCATAAAGGCAAAGCCATTATTCTTGATATAGGATTTCCCAGCAAAGGTGTAGAGGACCGGGTTAGCACAGCTGCTGATGAAGGCCAAAGTTGAGGTCACCGCTCGGGTTGACTCAGCCATACCATACAATCTGCA